GAGAATTTTCACTCGTCAGTTATAGGCTATCACACCAAGCAAGCATGGAACAATGAGTTTTTATGTTAACATAGAACATTGCCGATGCTAGAGGGCAGCATAGGCGTGTGAACGCAATATCCAGATTATTAGGGCAGAATATGAATGGGGATGGCGTTTATGTCATGTACGCAAGATGTATGCAGGCAGCATTTCATGTGTTCAATAGATCGTGTTTGATACGTAAACGTTTGACGTTTGCTGTGTGCATGTGCACAGCTGAAACGTATTCGCATGACTCACAGCAATTTGTCGTCGACTGCCGGTTGTTATGTCCGACTATACACCTGTCGATTTTCATTCTCAACAATACCCCCTCTTCGCTTATCATTAAGGTCCTAGATGAAACTTTTATTCACTTCAACAATTGCCTCGACGAATTAGAACGAATATATGCAATCCGCTATCAAGAAATATCAAGATCACCGGGTTTTTTGTTGTTGAAATTTGTCCCATAGAAGCAGTGATATTGGACGGCTTCAAAGACTATCCGTTCTGTTCGGATTAATTCATTTCAATCGGCTATTTCATGATCGCGTGCTCAGAGGTGACGGGATTTTTCTGTGGGTTGTAGAAATGCACAAATATCCGCACAAGTCGAGCAACATTGAGTTATTGCTTTCCCTGAAGCGTTTGATATTTTGGATCTTGTTTGAGGAATGAATGTGTGATCTGAAGTAATAAAGAGATAAATGTTTTGTCTGATGTGAATCCCTGAAGAAGAGGACGCGTCTCATCTTATCGCATATCGTTTTATCAATCAATGAAATGATGGATTGAAAAAAGGCATTTGCCTTGTCAAGACTAATCGATATTCCCTCTGATAGAGCGACTATTTGATTGTAAACAATTCCGATTATTACCTTGATCATTGTTATTACTATTGCAGTCAATTATCATTATCATTATTGATATTCTAGGTATCTTTATAATATTCATAATATTACTACGTATTAATTATATTGTTTAATTATGACTTTGATTGGTTTACGCAGGTTGATAATCGATCAGTGAAACAATTTTCTGAAGCAATCTTAAACAACTCATCAGCAGTTAAGGAGTATAACTTGAAAGAATGGCCACGATTCCGTTGATGCTCGATCAGGATGTCGAGTTGGGTGAATTGCCGAGTTATGATGAAGCCACGAAACGACAGAATGCAACAGGTGAAGCGCCGTCGAAACAATCCCGTCACAACAATATTCGTGATGCTTTCTTCCGTGAGCAATTCGCTAAAGATGCCACTATGGCTGGAGCTGTGGCTTATGCGAGCATATCAATCCGATTGGGTGAGCGGCTCCTCGCGAATTCATACGCATTTATTCATTCACAGTTTCTAGCGCAAGATTCTAACGCTATGGTAAACTGCAATGGCTTCTCCACAGAAAACTGTAGCATATCTTATGTTCCGTAGGTTGATCTTTTAGTAAAATATTGATGATCAACACTGTTAGAATACCAGCTGATATGATGGCTAATTTCGGCCCATTATTATCAAGTCAGTGCCATAATCATGATTCGAATTCACCGAAGAATGGAATCTTTAAATGAGTTTTATTTGTAAGAGCAGAGTTTCTGTACGATGGTGTCTTGTTGAATCACTGATGTGGTATAGTAGTTTCAAATATGCGAAACCACGACAGAGAAAACGTTTGAAAACGTTGCTGTGGTTGGATCAAAGTAGTGCACGTTTGAGTGGAAAATTTCAGGATTTTTACGGAAAGTGTTGGGTATTCTATCGTTCCAGCTCCTTCTAACAACACTTTTCTGCGTTGCTTTCTACGTAACGCCACATGTCCGCCTATTTCTAATGGAACAGTGAGTTATTAATTCTATTGTTCGTAATCAGAATTCAGTCATGTTCTTGATTCAGTGCAGCAGAAAATGAACTACTTTGTCGGTCGATCCATTGAATACTGATCGATTAATTCATAATTTTTATCAACATTCACTTCGCATTGATTAAGTGAGATTAATAGATTCACATGAGGTGAACATTCACAATGTTATCAAACTTATGCGTACCATTCAAGCATTTCATTTTGAAATTTTTATTTTTAGGTGGTATCAGCAGTTTACTAAACTTGATTGCAGTGAGCAGGAAGAGTAGATTTTCAGAAAGACGTGGAAAGATGAGATAATGTGAGAAGATAAAACTGTTCTTGAAGCCTCAAAGTTTGGTTTCGCCTATAGTGAATTCTCAAATCCTTAGAAGAAAATTCTCTGAGGATGTCATTCAGAAATTGGATAGTGAGATGTGTTTCTCTACGATGATAAATCAGCAATTGAGCCAGCGTATGAGAACACTGTCGAGATATCATCAGCATCTTGTTGCTGGTTTTGAATTTGTTTACTCGACGACGCGTCCTCATTATTCGTAAACAAGTAGTCGTCGACAATCGTTGCAAACTGATCGGCCGTCAGATGTCCATTCGACGATATATCCACTTCGTTGAATATCAAATCAGCTAGTTCCTCATCGAATCCACCAATCTCTTTAGCGATATACTGAATTCGATTCGACAGTAGATGCAAATTTGGATTTTTCGCTTTACATCAGAATTGTCGATTCATGGATTATTCAGCTCTCATCTGCGCATCACTTACAAGGCGGTGAGATGAGTTCATGAAAATCTAAACTCTTCGGATTCCAGGACGTCTTTCGCTTTCATTTCTTAGTTAGTGATTCTCATCAACGAATTGTTCCCTATGATTGAGCCCTGTGGAATATGGGGAGGTTTCTAGCTATAAAATAGTAGCTAGAAACCTCCCCATTGTTATGGGCAAGTTTCTAGCTATAAAAAGTTCATATCAAGTAATGAATCTATTTGTTTCATTTGGTTGGCCTCAATTTGATCTAAAAATATTCATATAAGATCAAATATGAATTCCAATCAGCTCTGTACTCGATTACGCTCCTCACCTTGAATTCACTTCCGGTTATGATGCCGTTTCCGTCTTGATCGAATACCTCGAAACACTGACGAACGATTTCTTCATTCGTTGACTTGACGAGTTTCTGTGATTTCTTCATGCACGTGCAGAATTCCGCAAAATCTATCTCACCGTTACCGTCCTCATCAATCTGTACATTACGTCAATCAATTTCGATTAGACAAAATAGCTGCTGCAGCAATTAAAAATTTTCGTTCATACTATCGTTTTCATATGCTGATTTCTAGTACATCCCAATGAAGAAGGAGGCTTTTTCTCTGATCTTTTGCTTCATTTCTAGGCATTCGCGTTGAAGAATGACGACGATTTCAGGTATCTGATGTGATATAAGTTGCATTTTCACAGTTCCGAAGTAGAATTCGCGAATTTTTATGGTGTTGTTGATTGGTAATTTGATCATCGTAAACAATCCAACAGTCAGTCAGTCCATTGAAGGGATGCAAAAGTAAATTCACAGCAAACAAAAATTTTCCTCCTAACACGATGAATTAGTAGTACAAGTGTAGCTATAATGCGGCATTATGGGATGAGCAATAGAAATTTGTATTGCAGACTTCACGTATTAAATTGTCGATTTCTTGGTCGTTTGCCTGAAGACCGATTTTGATCATTGCCTTCTTCAGTTCCTCATTACCGATTGCACCCGAGCCATCCGTATCGAACATTTCGAATAATTGCTTAAATTCGTCAACTTCACTTTTCGTATATTCTCCCTCACCAGTTGGTAGAGCTGAAATAAATAAATTGTTGAAGGAGACGACTTGATCTTGTAATTTCACTTTTTATGATCACTGGTGCTGATATTTGAAAAGCTTTACTCGTAATGACACTATCAGATCGACTATTTGCTCATTCGTCTACGTGAATCTTGATATGCCTGAATGGTTGAATGGAATGTTACCCATGGGAATTGGTTTCGGAAAGACTTTCGCAGTTAAATGATTGTCACAAACTAACCAGAGTCCTTCAAGCGACTCATAGATGAGTCGTGAGTATCACTCCGGAGCAGTTTGTTTCGTTGCGTAGCAATCCATGAGTTTCTTCTCGAATTTATTGAGATGTTTGTCTAAAGAATGTGATCAACAACAGGAAATCTTCTTCATTTGTATTCTGTTTGAATTCTTATGGGATTAGTTCATTTAGTAACATCCAAAAGAAATGTTTTTATACACAAGACAAGGAATGGGCTAACCTTTTTTGCAGTCACTGCACTTCCTGCACGTTTGGTTACTGCTGGTAGTTGGCTGATATCTGCAACGCGCACGTTTTTTAAGCGTTCAGTCACTGAAATTAAAATTATTTCGGTTTGATTCAAAATTCCAAAAAGATTCCATTAAAATGAGAATATTATACCATTTTACCTTAACAACGTTTCTGAAAGTTTTCATCTAGCCAAAATCTCAAACTGTTCTCCAGGAAGCAAGTATCTTCCTCTCAGAAAGAAACACCTGTATTATGAACTGGCTGATGAACAGTGAATTTAGGAAATATTGAACAATCTAATTACAAAATGAAAATTCCTTGCAATGTCTGTTTTAAAAGAAAATTTCGAGAGATTATTATATCTTGAAGAATTTCTGANAAAAACCAGAATGAAGCGTATTATTTACTGACATGATGGTCGCTTGGCATTATGGCGATCGAATTCGTTTGCTGTCTTCGGGAGCATTTTTGAAGAGAGAAGAAGCGATAGTCGTCTGTGAAGAGTGATTATTAAGTGTGTTTCGGATGACTATTTATACTAGTAATATGTTTTCTGGTAAGATGCGGCCATTAGACTCCACTTCCGCTTTACATTAGCATTAGCATTAGCATTGAATACGTCAGTTCATTTCGTCTTCAGATCACACCTCTAATGGTTTTTCACCAGAAATAGCTTGTTAGCATAACATATCCAGAATGTATTTGCATGATATAACGATAATATTATCACACTGGAGTTTACGTTCTATTCAGGGTGATTTTAATAATAATGACAAAATATAAAACAAATGAGGATGTTCAACGCCTGCATATTTGCTAGTGAAAAAATTCAAAGAACCAGAATGAAGCATATTATTCTGATTTCGTCAGTATTGATGATTCCGTCATCAAAAGCTGCATTAACGTCTAAGAAAGTTGATACTGCATGCATCCAGACATCCTACGGTGTAGATTCGAATCCTGTCTGTTTGGTAAGGGTGTTCCTTCGACGGCAACAAAACAAATGAGCGTCTGGTTTTCACTGGTGATATAATTATTATTATTTTGATCAAACTGTATTTTTTAGACCATGGATAGTGATGTTATCGTTGTTCGGCTCNTTGCTTCAAGTGTTGATTCAAGCAGGTTCAGAGTCGTCTTCAGAACTGTATTGTCACTTAATACTTGGTGATGATCATCATGTAAAGAAATGTTTCATTCTCGAACATAATCAACACCTTGAATGTATAAACTCGACTTTCAGTATCGTTTTACAATGTTGGCGCTGTGGTTGAGGCGGCTGGTCTTACGGCACTAGTCGTATTTGGTTTATTCGGATACACATTGCAATCGAAACGTGATTTCCAAAAGCATTGGGCTTCATTGTTTTGCTTTTCAATGATTTTCATTACGGCTTCGTTCATACAGGTTTGTTTCAGTACTTCGTTGTTTTTATTATTCTCTTATCTCTTTGAACAACATTCACTGATGAATGCGCATATAAAAGTTCAACATTTGAATGTTTAACGACGATACATTATCTCATAATCACTGAAAGAATAGCAAATTTTCGTGGATAATGAATGCCTCAAATGTTTTTTCATATTCTTCTGATTTGATCTGTGTGAATTTAGTGATATCGAATGATCTAGACCAGTGGTTCTCCTAGGGGATGAAATCATCTATTTTGGGTAATTTGGAGGTGTCAAGGGTAATGAAGGAGGTCGGGAACTTAGGATTTCGTGCAATTCTTATTTTATGATAGAACGTCATTGTGATGGTGTTTTTTAACTCGGTTTAATAGGGTTTTCATTCTTTTCCGTGCTGTTATAATCGCTCTCATA